ATATATATATATATATATATATATATATATATATATATATATATATATATATATATATATATATATATATATATATGATGCAAGTTTTCCATTTTCATCAGTATATAAATTTGGAACAAACTAAAGCAGTTCGCTCACAATCAAGTATAAAAGAAATTAAATCTCTTTTATAGTGTTTTTTTTCCTTTAACCCAATATCTGATCTTCACATGGCTTCCTTTGTTTCAACATCAGCAGGTCCTTCTGCCACCCTTCTTTACAGTTCTACTAAACCACAATGCCACGTTAGGCAATTCAACCTTGGCAAAAATGTAAGTCCACCTAATTTTGTGCTCTCTATTTTCATCCGTTTTTACTTAAAATAGATTTAACTAATTATATACACTGATATTGCAAAGAAAAAAATTATTATTGCTTTTTAACAGGGTATAGCACGTAGTCCCTCCGTTTCAATTCAGATGAGGTAGTTTGACTCTGCACGAAATTTAAGGAAAAAAAAGACTTTTGAAATTTGTGGTCTTAAAAGCTTAAGGGGTAAAAGCTTTGTGGGATCATGACATTTATGTGGTTATAAAAGCTTCTCATTAAGGGTAAAATGAGTAAAATGAATAGTTTAAAGTTGAACTATTTCCAAATTTTAGAAATGTGTCATTTATTTTAGAATAGACTAAAAAGGAAAGTACATATCTGATTTGAAACGGAGGGAGTAAGTTTTACTATGTATTACTTTTCAAGTTACTAATCTTATCACCCTAATGAATAATGATGTAGTATTATTTCGCACTGATTAAATTTTAAATCCATTATTATATCAAAACCTACTCTTCCTTAATTTTTATAGCTTAAAAATCCATCCCCAAAATAATCCATTATTAATTATTTTTTTTCAATAACCTCGCAGCTTGGTTCAAAAGCAAGTGTAAGTGGGCTTAGACTTGTGACAAGCATTCAAATCTCCAGAGCAGCAGCAAAATCACCCAAACTTTCCCATGGTTTGAAGAATCAAATTTCATGCTCAATTGTAAGACACTGAATTCATTTTCCTGCGAAACGAATTTTTTTTTTTCTCTTTTCAGTTTTCTCTAACACTAAACAATTAAAAGAAATGGTATTTGGCATGCATCATTTTCAGCAGGCTCAAACTGAAACTTTAGATATTGTCCAAATCACAATTGCCAAGCAGCTTTCCATTGATGAGAGCACAGTGACTCCTCAAACTAAGTTTGCTGATTTGGGTGCTGATTCCCTCGACACTGTACGTATGTTCTACAAGTTTAATATAGAGTTTCACTTTTATATTATCAGATCACTTAAAAGAGCTAATACATAAAGAGTGGGATTATCAGTAATATGGAGAATAAAGTAGATTACCCTACTACAACATGACCACATTGACAGTCTGTGTATATAAGTTAGTTGCTTTTACTTAACGTACAATGTCTTTAAGGATATTTCAAGAGCTAATCTAATGTTAAGTTACTCTAAAATTGAATAGGTCGAAATAATGATGGCTTTAGAAGAGAAATTTGAAGTGTCAATTGGAGAAGAGGGAGCTCAGAACATTGCCACTGTCCAAGATGCTGCTGATTTGATCGAGAAAGTGAAGGCAGCTGAAAATTGATATGCTTCAGCCACAACAGTCTGAAATTTGTCCAATTAGACATATATACTTGGCCAAAAGTCATTTCCTAGTTGTAACTTTTTTGCGTTGCTTCCATGACCAACCCTTAAAGTGGGAGTTTCTATCCATCCTTATAAGATTTGCTGTATCATTTATCAATAACAAGCAAATAAAAGTGTTTCCTTTGACTCTTTGCCTATGTAATATGAGCCAGGCAAAGTTCTCTTTTCTTGCTTTGTCGTCGTCATTTCTCTTCGTCGTACTCTCAATTTGGTAGCAACCAGCGGAATGGTCTTCGTTACAAGAGATCTGTTCATGAAAATGGGAATCTATTAGTTTTAGTCTTCAGCCTATGATACCACCTTGATCATCTTTTCTAATAATCTGGCATACAAGCAAGGAGTCCTAAGTTCCTGTATAATAGCCTTTTCTTTCAAGGTTTGTAAACTTGTAGGAGAAATTTCTGATATTGTGGAAGAGGTTTTACTATGAAGATAGCATCGTTTATGGTGGCATTAATAGCTGTACTGCTTTTGATAGGTGTGTTGCCAACAGATAGAAGCCTAGATACGGGTTTGACCGAATCAAGTAACTTTTGCTCAAACAGTGTGTTAAATAAATTCATTATATATGTACACATATTAAATTTAGATCTCAATCATTAACACTTGAAATCATGCTTCTGAAATTCAGAATCGATAAAGTTCAAATCCTAGCTCCACCTCATTATATTGGCTTAATCCTCATTCCCATAAGTATAACCCAAAATAATAAACAAATTTCATGGCATTTTGAATAATCGTAACGTATTCCTCCATAGAGAATTTTCCTGGCGCTACTCGCTTAAGCAAATACAAAATTGTTCCTGGGCAGGAAAATTTTGGGTTACCCCAACTAAGATGCGATGTACAAAACCTCATACCTACCTACATCTAAGTAAAAAGGTCCCAGGAACGCATGCAAACTTACGTTCTATCCCACCCAAAAAGAAGACGAAAGACAATCAACTCCACAAATGTTCAATTTAATAATATTCCAGACCACAAAACCAACAAATTAAAAAACCTTCATGCTCAGGCAGTAGAGTTCCTGAGCCGAGGGTCTATCGGAAACGGTCTCTCTGTCCTCACAAGGACACCTACCCTCCCCAGACCCCAAGGTGTGGGATAATACTGGGTATGTTGTTGTTGCTCAGGCAGTAGAACTAGGAAACGGGATCTCCCTTCTTCCAATATTTCAAAAATGCTCCATCACGGATCCGCAGGTCCAGGCACATTTTCAAAATGATTCCAACTTGAGAAGCAAACTCTAGTAGTTCTTCGAGTTAGTGTTACACCATAAATCAGGTAAATGAAGCAATCAGCAGTGTCGATACTAATAGCAGAGTTTCTTATATGAAAGCTTTAGCTCATCCAGCAGACCATATATAATGGGCACATCATCACTTCCAATGTCCTACGAGAACGACAGCTCAGTGGACCAAGAAAACTGGAAACAAAGAATACTGATAAAATGGAGGATCTGCAACCAGAGAAGTAACCAGGAATTGATGGTGCAACTTGCAAGCACATAAGAAACTGTGTAAGAAGAAGATATTTGTCAGTCATGTCAAACTGAAAGCAGTAAATGTCAATTCAACCTTATTGGCTCGTTATTTAGTAACTTGTACCTAAGTTGCCCGGACTCGGGTGCGGGCATCCGATACGGGCACGTATTCGAGTGTCGGATTTGGCAAAATCTAAATTTTAGGATTCGGGGGTGCGGATCCACGTATGGATACGGGTGCGGGAATTCGACTAAAAAAATTCAAAATTATAAAAAAAAAAAGAGCTATAAAGAGAAAAAGATAGTCATTCAAGGCCTTCCACCAACTCTCCATCTATATCGCTGCTACTGTCTACTAGAAGTCCGAACTCAGAAAACGACCCCTTATTTCTTGGTTTTTCTCAAACACAAAGCAGCAAGTATGAGACAAAAACAATTTAATTTTGAGAAATCAAAATCTTAATTTCCCCCAAATTTGCTGATGGACTCGGGGCAAAGTATCTGAAGTTAGTTGACCGAATCTGGGACGTATCTCGCTCCCGCACCCGCTCCCGTCCCGTGTCGAGACGGGTGCGGCACCAAAAACGAAGAGTCCGCACAACTTAGACTTGTACTTCATAGAATCACTAGATATAATGTTTAATAATTGGCATGTAAAAATAGGTCATAACACCTCATCAATTAATGAAAACCAAGTAAAAGTTATAATAAGGTTTACTCTCCATAAGTTACCGCCTTAAGTAATTTCGTTAGATATGAAAAAGGTGAACAAGTTTGTTAATTCTCTGAAATCCCAGTCATAGGAAGTAAACTGCACAGTTTTAAATATGCAGTTAGAAGTATTTATCTATCCTGTTCTTAAGTTCTTTACCTATGTTCTTCGTTTTCCACATTATACTTGTGCAATAAACACCAAAAGCAGCCACAAAATAAAGAGCTCACACCACTACCACTCTAAAAATGACATTAAATGTAATGCAACTAAAACTGAAATATAAGAAGGGAAAAGGGACAGGAGACAGAAAACTGTAGAATGTCAATTTGCGCTTTCTGATGCAGGAGAAATCAACAAATAACACTAGCACCGCATGACACAGACCAAAAGGATATTCCCTAGTAGTTAGCACAACTCAAGATGTTTCTGTGCATAGACATATATCTATTTCACCCTTTTATAAAAGTTACCTCCATTCAGTAGAGCGCCTTTCATATTTCTTGACCTAGTGCATTTGAACACAACAAAAAAAAATCCAATGGAATCCCACAAGTGGAGTCTGAACACAAATATGAAAGTAAATAATAAATGGAGTAAATAAATGAGAGCACTTTCTTTTTTCAAGAGTGTGTTGGTCTATGACAGACACGTCATAGTAAGTAACTATCCTAGTTAAGATGCGGCGGACCTGGCTAACTAGATTGTTGTTGATAGCTTTCAAGTGTTGATGGATCAGAATTAGGAACTACCAAACTCTATCAAATTTTTGGTAGAACAATACGGAACATAGAGGTATAAGAAACTGAAAATGTAACATGCAAGTGTTAGTTCATTTAGATTAACATAGAGTAAGCAATCTATTCAGATGTCATTTCTAAGAACACATAAAATACTAGCAAATGGCCTCTTGTCATTACCTTAAATTATGCATTTTGCTGGACTTGCCGGTGAACTTGCGTAATCCAATCAAGATAACCATTTGCACCAGCAACTGCATCCTCAATTAGATTTGCAAGCAGGAAGTATCCTTCTCTAGGCTGTTCACCTTGTCTCACAAGATAACTTAATTGATAATATGAGCTGTCACTTTCCCTGTACTTGTTAAGCAAGCCCATCAATTTTCTTGATATTTCATTATCTAGTTCTCGAAGAGAAACCTGGTTCTCAATGACAGAGAAGAATAACCACATTAGAGAATACTAGATAAGCAGATCATAAGATTTATCTCAAATTATCGACAAAATGAAGGCCATTAAAGAAAAAGACAAAAAGAGAGGCCATTCGGTTTAAATAACCCAGGTTGTCAAGCTATGTTAAAGCTATTAAGAAACCAAACTCAGATTTTCTATAAGCACAACAATAAACAAGGTCTTACAAATTCTAAGTAAGCAACATATTTCTGTTAACGGACATCAGTTAAGACAAAAGTAAGTTCCCTAAGGGATATATAAGATCCATCTCCATAGAGCTTGATGTTTCGGTTCTTTATTTTCATTTATGGGGGATTTATCAAGCGAAATGTTAACTGTTAGAATATGCCAAATATTGTAGCTAGATCATCGATTATCAATTCCTAGATGCATCATCCAAAGAAATTCTTCAACATTCAAGAAGGTTTATCCAGTGAAATTTACAATGAATCCAAATCTACGGATTATAGAAGAGAAACTACGAGGATATAAGTAATAGTACCTGGAATACTAATCTGAAACTGATAAAGAAAGGATGACACCCTAGTTGTTTGTTAGGATAGAGAAAAATGAAGAATAATGCTAATAAAGAAACTGAAAGATAATATGGTCATATGTAAATAGAAGAAGAGCATCCACACATGCAGATGCATTCAGTAGATGAGCTTAGACCTGTCAAATGGGCCGGGTCGACCCACAAACCGGCCCACATAACCCATTAAAATTGACCCTTTAATCAGCCCATGACCCACGAAACCTTAACCGGACCAACCCATTAATTTAAGGTGCCTGGGCCGGGCTATAATATTTTGACACAGAACCGGTAGTTGACCCACAGGTCAACCGGCCTGGACCAACTCTCTCTCTCTCACACACACACATATATATACACGTGATAAAAAATTGAATCCAAACATTGAAGGAAGAATATAGTACCAGACACTATGAGGCGTCTTGTCGAAATAGTCGAAGTCCATATGTTTCTCAAGTTTTAATATTAATAAAGTATGATTTTTCTTTCATTTATATTCTAACTGGCTTCAAGGACATATAGTAATTTCAAGTTCGTATATATGTATAAAGTTTGAAATTTTTATCGTTTATTGGTTTTAAACTTTTTTTAATTAATTGGATTGGGCCCTAATGGGCCCGGATTAAGGGATTACGTGTTACGGGTCCGGGTCGGGTCAACATGTTTTGATTAATGGGTCAAATCCGAACCGGCCCCTATAAGAAAGTGAACCGGACCGACCCGGTTAAGGACCCACGGGCCAAGAGTCAACGAGTTCGGGTCCGGGTCCGGGTCCGGGTCGACCCATTTAACAGGTCTTGATGGGCTTCACAGATGAAACCACTAAAACAAATAGACGGAAAATACTTTTTTCATTTTCAACAATTTATACTTTAATCAGTAATCAAAAAGTTGCCCAGGTTCTAACATTTAACCTACCAAAATTAACATTGAATTTGACAGTGGGAGTTGGATAGAAATTCCCAAAGCTTGCTTTTTGGTTCATTCTGAGGAGCCTTGCCAACATGGTATAATGAAGACAAAAAACCGATGTTTTACATGGTCAAAGAATGTTTTGTCAAAACAAATGCAGCCCTTTTTATTTCAGTCATCAAACTCATCTTTAGTATTATAACAATTAGATAGAAGAACTTCAACATTTTCAACAGTTATGGTGGTCAATAAATTTACCTTAGAGAAGTCAGCAGCAAAGTTTTCCCCAAGCAAATTGTTAAGTATATCAGGTGAAAGCACCCTACCGAACCACAAGACAAACCGAAAACCATCGTCATAGAGATAGAGACCTTGAGGATTTAAACTCCCTGCAGCAAGTGGAAGCCCATTCCATATGTCTATAGAATCCTCAGCCAAAGATGGTTTCTGGAAAAAGGTGATGCAGATTAGGTTTTAGAAATTCTTAAATATGACTACATATAATGCAAAAGGGTATACAGAAACATACTTTTAGAAGATATTCATCTACACGAATCAACTGCGGATAAAGAAGTTTCAACAATGTTTTAACAGGCAAAGCCATCATGGTGTATCCAGCAGTGCAGCGTTCATCAAGCTGAGCATCAGCATACCCATCACGGAAGGCTATCGATTTACATAATGCTAATCCATACAAGGGCAAGCACTTTAAAGATTCTGGATATATCATCCTCCCTCCTAGGCAGTGTTGGACAGCATGGAGATTTCGATATTCTCTAAGAGCTTTCACAATCCGGAGTTGAATAAAATTTCGAGCCTCCTCCAATTTAGAGGTCAGAGCTTTCTCAATAGCTGCAGATAAGATAACCTCATACATTAGACACCTAAAACTACTAAAACCACAGGTATTAATGTCAAAGAACCAAATACAGGAAAATATTAGCTTTAATTGTACCCAGCCTCGTAAAAAGAGAAACAATGGCACCCGTATCAGCCAGGCGATACATTTCTCCTAAGTCTGCGACCACAGGTGCTGCTGCTGTGTGCACCCTAATGCGCCTTTCTCCAGAAGATGAAGTGTATCTTTTTTATTTGCTAAGAATTGTTTCATGGAACCAAGAGGAAAGATAAATTCTCTTATGGTAAGTTACTTTGTTTTCTAAAACATATACAAGATGTAGGACAAGAATGCTTTCACTATTTATATATTTTTTTTATTATAAAAAAACGAGTGCTAACAGGAAATCTAGAATTGCGTTCAAATTCTCTGAAGAATGACGCAGAAGCAGTTATTATGCTAAAGGATACAATAGGGCTACTTGGAAATAGACCGTCTGAGATGTAAGCAATGTTTCCTCAAGCGATAACTGCATCGCATATGCTTTATCACAGTCAACAGCTGGAAGTGCCATTAGATCAGTAGATCTCAGCATGAAGTTCCCATGATACGTAGTGGATCGAACACCTGAAAGAAAAAGGAAAGAACACTTAGTGTCCAATGATGGAACTTGTGTGTCTTGTGGGAGGAGACGAGGAGTACTATAGTAAGATAACCTTTTCCACATCTTATACGCATGACAGACTCCCAAGCAGTCTCCCTTGTAAGATCTCTGGCTAACTCATGATGTAATTTTTCTTTGTGAACGGCAGCTTGGAAACTTGGATAGTAATATACCTGACCACCTGTATACTTCGCAAGAGTCCCTAGACAACATAATTGAAAATCAATATACATCAATATCTCATCAAGGGTCACATCAAAGAAAAGAGTATCAAAGACTACAAATTACAGAGATGTAAGTTATTGTAAAGTTAATGAAGCTAAACCAATCACAGAAACAGGAGAGGTTTCAGTAAACTAAAAAGTAAGACGACATTTAGACACCGAAGCTTTTTTAGGATGTCTTTATTACAGAGATATTGCCTTGCTACTTACACTTATATAAAACTTAGAAGTAAAAGCACAGTTTATTGAAATTATCAAGGGGGTTGCCAAATCAGCCTTCTGCGCCGAACTTCTCTTAGAGGTCTCTTTATAGAGACAAGATTTAATTTGGCTAATTAAAAGGCCTCACATACATCGGCAAGTAAATTTAAACATTTGGAAATCATTAGAAGGCGCAAAAACTAATGATTCACATCTTAAAATTATTAAACTATTTGTGTCTGGAATAGATGGTATATCCAAGTTTTAGGCAGCGACACAGAAAAATCAATCAAATAAGTAGAGACAAGTCAAGAAAGAAAGCTAGTTGGACTACATCATAGAAGACAGTTAATAAGAAGTTTTGCTTTTCCGCTCTAGCTTTTTAGATGTTAGTCATAGTGGAAGTTCAATTACCTAATATAGATATATCAATATATTGTTACAGTAAAAGATCAACTACCTAATGTAGCTATATCAGTATATTTGTCGCTGAAACCATATACATTAACTGCTACTTGATATTTGGTGAAATCGGCGGCCATCTGTTTATAGAAAGGATCTTCTGGAGTTCTCAGTGTATGCTCCTTGTCAGTTCCATAAACACGAAGATCATCTCCTCGCAGCCTTAAGCGGCCAACACCTAATGATGGAAGAGCGTGCTGAAAGATCAGCAATTTACCACCAAGTTGACTCTGGAAGCAGAGAAGCAATATTAGTCAGTATGGAGTCAACATACGGCAAAAAAGGTGATTTTACGATTGACTAAATTTGGACACAAACTTCCAAAGGACATAACTCAATCAGCAAATCATGTACAGAGATGGTAGAAAGAAGTCCACGCACCATAACCATGAAGGCTGCTTTAAGAGCTGGACCAAATGCTGATTCCACATTTACATTCTCCTGGAACATTGAAGGCAAGCTGTCCAAAAATGCATCTACCACAGTTCTTGATTCCGACAAATTGACAAGGAGATCATCTGGCAACGGAATAAATACATCGTCCAGATCTGACATGACGATCATTTGTGGCTGAGTCAAGGATGACTGGCAGAAGAGCAAAAGAACCTTATAATTTATACACTAGAAGGATATTAAAAGTACGCCCACACCAAATCACTTGCCTTCATATTATAAAAGTGTAATGTACTGTCATAAGTTATAAACCCGATCTGTGTTCTGGGAAAGCCAGGCAAATTGTCCAAACAACTCTTGATCGTTTGTGATACAACCTGAAAAAGATTTGTAAACTGGTAAAGAAAGAGACTAAAGTAGAAGTGTGCTCTCAGTGCGTCGTGTTCTGGTCTCATCCATAGTATTGTTCAAGCCATGAGTTCCTTTGATCAAATTTTGGTCTCATGTTCATTGAGAAGCAAACTTCTCAGTAGATTTTCTGTCTCACTTCGCTTACTGTTTCAGCCCAGGTGTCTAATTTCTTGCTGAACCTCCTATGGCTTAGGCTTCTGGCTGATTCATGACTCTATAGGAGTCTCGTATATAGTTATATGCATAGATTGTTGTTTTGGTGGGTTCATGCCCACCTTTTCTTACCGGGAAAAAAAAAAGAAAGAGAGTAAAGTAAATATGTCTATGAAGCTTTAATGGTTTAACCTGGAGAAATTACACCCAGTACCATTACAAAGATAAATTTGTAGAGATTGAGATTTCAGCCTTGCAGTTACAACTCCACTTTGCATCACCTAGGTATAGGGTTTTTCCTTTTATTAATAAGTACTTAGGTATAGGGTTCTAATCCCACCAAAGGCCTTTCCTCTTCTACCTTCCCCAACCAAGTTATTCACAGGGCCAACCCTACCCCAAAAAATTTAGAAAAGAAAAGAGTAAGAATTAGCTGACCTCAAGAATAACTAAGCATTGAAAATTAAGCAAAAATTAATTAACCAAGAAAAGAACAGAGAAGTCCCTGTGACTAAACCTATATGGTTTCAGGTTCATATATTCCTCTGCTTCCGTAAAAGCATTCCAATATTTATTGGGTATTATAATGGGCAAAGTAGAGGTCCTTATCAAAAATGGACAATATGAGGAGCAACAGTTAGTGAGCAAAATGAATACAAGGAGGATAAGTTGTCATAAGTGAATTAAAGCCTGGGCTGACATGCTTTTCAGTTAGATGCAAATTGCAAAGCTTGATAACTACAACACAAATGCATACCTCGAGCATTCCACTCTTCACAGCAGATACAGATACATCGATGAGGAAAAAGTAAAGTGGAGGCATTGGAGGCCGGACCATGTAATCAGTGGGAGCAATGAACTCCACGCTCCCCTGGGTAAGTTCAGGCCTTTGATCCAAATCGGTTCTTCTGCCACTGGCATCCAAATGGGCAAAATATTCGCCAGGAACTGGACATAAAGAGAATGATGACCCAATGCACTTCTAAATAGGACAAGTGAATCTACTCCAATATACGTTACGGTAGCGAAGAGAGAAATCTGCAAGTTTAAAAAGAAAAAAAAGAAGAAAAAAAAAACTGCTACCCAGCTGGAAGGTTTGACATGGAATGGAACATCAATATGAACATACACTGAGATGTTAACCTAACAAACTAGCCATATCAGGCCATGACCACTTCAGCAGTCACAAATAGAGAGAGGGGATTGGTTGAGTTTTAACATATAGCAGCATTTTCAATAATAGGTGAGTGAAAAACTGAAGAAAGATTAACAAAAGATGCAAATAAGTGGAAAATACCTACTTAGAATATGTAAGGCAACATCATGAAAAAAAAGCCTCTTAGTTTAACTAGTTTTAAATTTATCTCTGAATTCGCTCCATAGATCTGAGAGTATCTACAGTTACTAAATCAAGGTCATCTTGTGACATTGCAACCCTTGCATTCCCATAACCCATGTACACAAAGTCATATAAGTGTAGAAGGGTGTGGCGCTTCATTCCCATTAACCCCACTTCTCTCTCACTCTCTTTCACTCCCCACTCCTTCCGTCCTACCTAACATTGGAAAGCCGATAAGTACAAATAGAAGTTCACTTAGAATTGTTACTCCCTCCGTTTCAAAAAGAATGAACCTATTACTATTTGGGGACTCAAAGTGTCAAACAAAATTTCTTTGACCGTATTTTTTGCAAATAGTTTTTAAATATTTTGAATTGTTAACTATTGTCGCTTATAGTACTTTTTATGTAGAGTCTAAATATGTGGATTATATTTCAAACAGCTTAAAGAATCTATGTCCGAATTCACACTGAAATTAGGCAACTTGATCCTCGTACTCCGAAAAGGTTCAAACAAATTGAAACGGAGGGAGTATAAAATATTGGTGGACTTGACCTGTTTTTGCTACACAATATTAGCACTTTTAAGCACACCAAAATCAGACGATACAGCTTTAAAAAATGTAATAGAAAAGAGATTTAAGAGCGGAATCAATACTGAGGAGTTGACAATACTTACCATCATTAAGCAATGCACATAAGTTACATCGCCACTTTCTTCCACTGTCTGTAAATGTCACATAGGGATTCACATAAGTCCGGCACCTTTTACACCGTATGATGCTAGTTGGGGCAAAATTAACTACTGGAACTTCTTCCTGAATAAAGAAATTTTGCGGATAGAGCAATAAGCGATTTGCACAATGAAATAAAGCTTTCAGTATCAAATATGTAAGTTACGTTTCATGGATACAAACCCCATTAGGAGCTTCAGCAAGAGGGGAAACAACTGCTCCAAGAGTTAAGTGCCACCTTGAAGCCAAGGACTGAGAATTCGGTATGCCACTAGTCGTTAGCCTCAAATATCTTGAGCTACAGTTCATCGGATACATCTCGGACAAAGGGTTCCGTTCCAGGTCACCTTCCAATGGCCTTGGTAGAACTTTAGAATCAAGCCCCGGATCAAATGATCCTGGAACAGACCCAATAGAGAAGGAACTGAAATCTTCCACTAAACCCTGCATAACTGCTGTAGGAGGTGTAGACCCTGGATGCTGCATTTGTTCCCTTGAGCTACCCAGTTGAGATGCTGCTGATGGTGGAGCTGCATAGCCTCCTTGTTGGGCAAGATAGGGGCTAGATGTTGCTGCCATTGTCGGAACATAACCACCTTGCTGAGAAGGAAAGGCTAAAGATTGTCTTGGTTGAGCCTGTGCGCCCGCTGTATTTTGATGACTCATATACCCTGGAAAAGCAGATTGAAAGCCGGGTCTGCCAGCAGGATAAGCTGGACCTGCTGGTGGTGAAGATGGATGCATGGTCGCCCTGGCAGCAGAAAACTGGGTATCTACGGGTGACCGAGGAACAACTACACCGGGTTGCACCATGCTCGCACTTTGAGGGGGGAATCCCATCGGACCATGAGGAGGTTGGATTTGGGGATTTAGGGAAACATGAGATGTTGAGAAGGGACCTGAAACGGGTCTAACTGGTGGTCGTAAAACAGGTTGGCCTGCAAGTGAAGTGCATGGTGGAGGTACCCCAGCTGTAGAAGAAAACTGTGGTGCTGGAAAGCATTGGTAAGGGCTAGCAGCTGGTGGTCCATATGGAGATGCAGATGTTGGAGGTGGCCTAGCTGCATCATTAGGCATACCTGATGGCATTGTTCTAAAAGCAGAGGCCTCAGTTCCAACCATGGCACCAGATGCAGAGGAAGGAGACGTAATCTGGGAAGAACTAGGAGAAGCATGCCGAAATGCAGAAGCTTCGGATCCAACCACAGGGCCAGATGATTGAAAGGGTGTTGAACTTTGTGCAACACTAAAGGGAGAAACAGGCCTCGAGGGAATGGCAGGACCATTAGCATATTCAGTGCCCATGTTTTCAAAGAACTGTTCCTGTTAATATACTAGCAGCAACAAACAGAGATGTCACAGAAAAAGTACAACTAGACTTGTACATTAGCTAAAGAGCAGGTGTTCCAAGATCCCAAGACTGGAAAGGGGAAAAAGGGTATACCAAAAAAAACAAGAAGCTATTGTTTAAACAATAACACATTAACATCAGAGCTAAAAGCACATAAGAGCGAGAAGACTCGTTGAACTTTAAGCAAAAAGTGAAGTGCAAGCTTCTTCAAAGTGAAACATAAATTTTCAGAAAATACCAAAAAAAGCATCATGCATATATATAATTTGTATGCTTATTCATAGTGGAAATCAGAAATACTCATAGTTTTCTGACTGCAGGTCGCTGCTGAATGAACTCCGAATGCTGGAAATTTGCCACACCTACAGAGAGGGTAATGGTGTGGCTGACATACTGACAGGATTAGGAAAGACATTAGCCTATGAAAATAGGCAGGATTTCGGTAATCTTTGATCTCCCTTCCAAACTTTACTTCATCGCACTTAGAACAAGACTCTTAAGGAACTATAACTTTTCATTCAATTCCATGTTGTAATAACTAGCTTTACTTTTCAATAAAATGTCTTCTTTTAGCAACAAAAAAAAGTTGTACTTAACCATTAATATCGCAATTAACATCGCTAATCTCAGCATCAACATAAAGTAATGACAACATTAATTCCAACAACTCAAACTTAACATCATTAATATGTGCTTTTAACAAACCCTCACAAAGTAAACTTCAACTGCAAAACTTATTGTCAATATTCAATTAACCAGACATAAAAGAATTACTTGTATCTTTAATTTCATAATTTGATTACTTTAGTAACTATACAAATAATCAGCTTTAGCAAGAGTCGCCTTTTATTTTCCATGCAATCCGTTTATAAAATCCATAATTGGAGAATAGAAAACAAACAGAAAGCAGACAAGAAAAGGAGAAAAAGAACTATAGCAAGAGAGAGTATAAGAGAGATGGGAAAGAGAAATCCATAAGAAGAAGAGGAAGAAGAAGGAGACTTGCACAGCATAGGAAAAAGAAAGAGACATCATAACGAAGAAGAAAAGTCAAACCAAGGGGAAAAAAAGGTAAGGTAATATTTCATCGATGTTTTGGGGGTAATGAAACCCCGTATACAAGTAGTATATCAGAAGTAAAGAATCTACACCAAAATATGGATTTCTACAAAAGACAATCAATTGTCTACACAAATTGAGATCTCGTGGGTGCACTAAAACTTATCAAAAACAAAAGAGATGTCCTAATCTGTGCAAGATCATATTCCATCCCGTCAAAGTTCATCTGTTCCTTTCCCTCCAAAGCACCCACATAAATGCTAGTGAGTCTACATTCCATGCTCTACATTCTCTTCTTCTAAAATCAAACCAAGAGAAGCGAAGAAATTATAGAGGTAGAAAAGGAGTCATCTCAAAATTAGAGCAGAATAAGAAGTGGGGGACGAGAATACTTAAAGTGTAAGGAGAAGATTCCTATCACTCATATATCAAAGAGCTTTGATTTTCTAATATTCTATCTCTTTTATTTTCATCTTTTAAAATCATCCAAAGATGAACATCCTTCTCTTTTCAAGTGTATTACCTTGCGCCTCATAATATCTAAGGAGGTCTGGTTGACAAAGCTTGGTTTTCATTTCTTGAGTCAAGAGTAAATTCCCCGCAGCATGCTAATCTGTGGTTACTTGTGATTCCAACCTGAAATGCATTGCCCTCTATAAAATCTTATCACTGCACCTACGATAAATGATGGTTTTGCATCGCTCTTTCGCTTAAGCGGAGCGGAGCGATCACTTTTAGTAATTGTTTTCAGTTTTTCCCATAACAGTGAGTTTGCATAGAAAATAATGAATTGTTTTGAGATAGAGGGAAAATGGGTGAATGCTTAACTGTGAAGGTGATGCTAAAAGATCGGTTTCATTTCATTTAGCTGGTGCTCTGCGAAGAAGAAAATTTACAAGTTGCCTGTAGCAGCTAAATCACACAGGGAAACACTTGAACGCCATTCTAGGTTTGCCTCTATTCTGATATCTTCCTCTAATCACACCGCTCATACTGTCCCACTGATCAATATCCAAGATATCAGACCAAGTATACAACAAGAACTATTACCACTTCTATGTCTCAATCCCGAACTAGTTGAGGTTAACTCTATGAACCCTCATTATCCATTCACCTCCATCAGAACACTTTTCATTCTAATACCCAATAATTTCTCTTCTACTACAAAAATCATAGTGTCTTTACATTTTCTACTAATAACTTTTATTTCGCAAAGCTATTCATTGCAATTAATAGAAATTAAACTAACTAGCATCACCACCTGAATAAATTGCCAGAACTTATGTATTTTAACTAAACGCAGTAATCATGCGAATCACCAAATTCAAATATTCAGCAATATGGTTAAAGAAAAATCACAATTAGCCTACAACTAACATTCAACAAGTTTGACTGAAACAAAATCTCATTCATAAAATTAAAAGAAAACCTGATTTTGATTTTTTTTTTTTTAAAACAGTGCATAATTGAAGCAAATAAAACTGGCATACCAATGAAAGAATTTGGAGTGCAGGTTGAATTAACGTGATTAAATATCTCGCCGTGAAGTCGCCGGGAAAATGTGGAATCGGAGTTGAGAGAGTCGGCGATCAGCTTCAGCGAGGTCGAAGTAGCGGTCAAGTCTCCAAGAGTTAACAGTTAAAATTTCGGCAGCAAACATTATTCTTTACGTAAGTGATTTGAGAAGATCCAAAACTTTGGAAAGAAAAATCAATTATTATTATTATTATTATTATTATTATTATTATTATTATTATTATTATTATTATTATTATTATTATTATATTACGAAACTTAGCTCAAAGTAATAATATACAACAAGAAAATAGATAAGAGATATAGAGAGAAAGAGAGGAGAGATTCTTATTTCTTCCATGTATTCAAGTATCTACAATGTGATGCCCAAACCCTCTATTTATAGGATGATATAGGTAATACAAAGGGATGCCATAAACATGGTATTAACTATTGACAACATGGGCTAAAATCATGGAGGTGTGGGAGTTACATCCATAATGGTAAGAAGTAGTGGGAGGTTAATGGATAAGAGTAGTGGGTATTACTCCCTTAGGAATTATGAACATCCACCATAATTAAGTATTTCATAACATATTATTATTATTATTATTATTATTATTATTATTATTATTATTATTATTATTATTATTATTATTATTATTATTATTGTTATTGCTATTGTTATTGTTATTGTTGTGGTCGTGGCCATTTTTATTAACCATAAATCTGATAAAAATGGAGCAAAAGTTATAAGTTTATTATCAAGAGTTAGTTTAGTTAACTATACTCTAAGAACTACTATTAAACTATAAGAAAGTTATGTATTTATAGCTTTTATATTTTTTTTCCAGTACTCGTGAATCTATTCTTCTGATATTTAAATTGTTTTTATTTTAGTATTTGTAATTCTCTTAAATTTTTGCCTGATGCAAAGAAAAAACGTGTTAGTTAAGCCTTTGTTTTTATTAAGATTTAGAGGTATGAATCCGAATACACTTCTACATATTAATGTGTATTAAGATTAAAATGTCTGAATGTGAACGTATATCTGAATATCAAGATGTTGTATTAAGATTTAAATACTGAATAATTAAGACTGTTTGTTTTCTCTACATATGAATGCGTACAACTTTTCTTTATTTAAACAGTGATAAGTATAAATTCAAATCAAAGAGTAGTAGTTAATCTAATATTATATTAATAAAATATTTCTAAAAAATTATATGGTGGTTGATGGTGATGATGGCTAATAGTGGTGGTTGTGAATTCCGACTGGTAGTGACTAGTGGTGGTGTCGGTTGATAGTAGTCGCTTATGGGTAGTAGATAGTGGATTACAGTAGTGGTTAGCGATGGTGGTTGTGACTAATAAGTAATGGGTGATAGATAGTGGTGGTTGATAATGATTGACTAATGATTATTGTGGTATTGGTGGTTGCTGGTGATGGTTGCAAACAATGGCTAGTGATAATGACAACTGATATTCGTGCTTAGCACCAATGGTGGTTGTGGCTGAGGAATAGTGGGGACAACGATAGCAGTGGTGATTAGTGATAAAAGTGTAAGAGTAATAGTGAAATATTATTTTTACATAAATTCTAGAATGTATAACATCTTAATGATATTAAGACTCTGTTATAGATCTTAATCATTAAAATCTATTCAGACCCATTAAGTGGTTATAAAATTAAAAAATAAATAGACTTAATGATTAAGATCTGAATGATAATTAAGATTCAGATCTAAAAAATAAACGCACTTAATAACTTAAGACTCAGACCTCCATTAAATGCGAACAAATGAGATCTTACTCCTCGTTACATAATAAAAGGACATGTCATGATGCATGTTCAAGTGCAACTAAACTTTGTTATTCACCTGATTATTTGTGTAAAAAACTATCGAGACCTTCCTCACTTTCACTGCCATCCCTCTCCCACTCCCATTTAGTTTCGTTATGATAAAAGAAAAGAAAAATGTACGACTTTTACTTATATTTTATGCTTGTTGTGTGGATGTTCTGTAACAATGTAACTGGTCTTTTTGAGTTCTAGAACCTCATTCCTCTATTTGAGACTCCATGTAGGTTCTTTTGATATTTTATAACTTGCAAGCATGAGTGGATCGGGTATCAGGGGATTCGGGAGTAATTTATGACACTTACTTCCAAAGTTTTAAATTGAGAAGAGTTTACTAAAGTCAATATTTTTGGGTAAACGAGCAATGATTTATGATTTGCAGGTTACAATGCATTCGTATGTAATTTTGTGCTTGTGCGCATGGTCGAATTAGGACCTGAGGGGCTCGAGTGTGATTCAGCGCATATGCTTGAAAGTTGGAAATTTAAGAATTCATAAGTTAGTTTGGACCTTGATTCTTAGTTGTGATGTTTATGTATGTATTTTGAGCCCTTGGACAAGTTCATATTGGGTATATAGACTATTCGAAATAGTTTGGAGGGGTTCCCAAGAGCTCAAGAGTCGTTTGAAAGTGAAAAATCAACAAAATCGGCATGTAGTGGAAACGATCACCTGGAAGCGGAGACCTCATGAAGCAAGGGCCACAGACATCCAGCTTCAGTTGCTGAAATTTATGTTTGTGACTATATAACTCTATTTCGAACTTGGAATTCATCTTATCATCTTGAGAGTTAGAGAACGCGGATTTAGGAGCTTTTTTAGTGGATTTTATTCTGCATCATTGGGGTAACTAACCTAGATCTATGATTAATATTTGAATCTATCATCAAATCTGCCTTTAGATCAAGGATTTCAAAGAGAAAAAAAAGGATTTTTTACTTGAAAGTTAAAAAGTATATTTTTAACTTTGAACTCAAATTTTGAAACTAATTACATATTTGGACTCATGGGGTTATAGATAAATAAAATTTGTCTTTAACGGGGTTTGACCATGTGGGCCCCGGGTTGACTTTGTGACGACCCGATAGGTCATTTTGAGTACAAGCTCCTTTTTCTGCATTCTGAGGCCTCCCGTAGCTTTATTTGATGATTTATGACTTGCGTGCCTTGTTCGTATAAATTTCCGCATAGTTTATGTGTAAAGTTTTGAAGAAAATATGATTTTTGACATAAAATGAGATTTGAGTTGTCCATGGTCGACGTTTTTGGTAAATAATCTTGGGTCGATGTTTTGACAATTCTGATAGGTTTATATGATATTTTTGGACTTTTACGCATGTTTGGTTGAGGTCTCAGGGTGACCCGAGCCCGTTTCAGCGCATTATGTAAAAATTAGAAAAATGAGTTCCAAAGTTGAAATCTGGAGTTTTGATGATCGATTCTTGATATTTGCTATTATTTGATGATTTGAGGTAACGGGTGAGTTAGTGTGAAATTTTTACACTTGTATGTATGTTTGGATTGCAGCTCGGGGGGCTTGGGTGAGTTTCATATGCGTTGTGGGAGGTTTTGAACTACTGAGGGGTTGCTGGTTTTTCTTGCCTGCAGATCTCGCAATTGCGAGGTACCTGCTCGCAAATGCAAGCCTCACTTTTGTGAGTCACTGCTCGTATTTATGAAGGAGGCTGGGATTTGTCTCTTCGCATTTGTGACCCTAGGGATTTTTGAGCTGCTTCGCTTTTGCGAAGTCTGTGTCCGCAATTGCAAATGGAGGCCTTCGCAAATGAAAAGAGTATGTCGCATTTGCCATGACTATATGGCTGGGACACTAATCGCATTTGCGATCAGTTATTCGCTTTTGCGATGGTCGCAATTACGAACAAGAGCTCGTAATTACGACATTTGTAGATGGGTTAAAGTGAAAACATTGGGACTTAGCTCATTTTACACCATTTTTCAATCCTAAACTCTCTAGAGGCGATTTTTGAAGAGGGTTTTCTTCAAAAATTCATTGGTAAGCAACTTTAACCAGTTTTCAATCAATTTCAACTACTTTTTCCATGTTCCGAGACCTCTCATAGCTTTATTTAATGTTTATTGATTTGCGAGCATGGTCCATGTCGCTTTTCCAAAACTTTTTATGTGAAATTATGAAGAAAATAAGAATTTTGACTTAAAATGAGGCTTGAGTTGTCCACGGTCAATATTTTTGGTAAACGACCTCGGATCGGTATTTTTATAATTTCGGTAGGTTCGTATGATATTTTTGGACTTGTACATAATTTTGGTTGGGGTCCAGGGTGACCCGAGCGTGTTTCGGTGCATTATGTGAAAGATCGTGAAAAATGAGTTTATAAGTTAAAATCTAGAGTTTTAATGATCGATTCTTGTTATTTGATGTTATTTTGATGATTTTAGGTAGTGAACAAGTTTGTAGGATGTGATTACACTTGTGTGCATGTTCAGTTTGGAGCTTGAGGGGCCCGGATGAGTTCTAGATGTGTTCAGAGTGTTAGTGAACTTCTGATGCTTTGTTTCTAGGCGTTTCAGGTCTGCAGGTCTGCAGGTCTTGCAATTGCAATGACCTGTTCGCAATTGTTGTCCTGCTTTGGCAATGTCGGACTCGCAAATGCGATATATGGGGAGGGGTTGTGATCTTCGTAATTGCAAAGTAGTTGTCACAAATGCGATTTGGGGGGTGTTCGCTTCTACAATCGGATGGGTTTAAAATGCGACTAGAAGCTGGGCTGCGACTACTTTTCATGAATTTCTAACATCAAATCTATAAATTTCAAGGTAGGGGTTTTGGGTAAACTTTAGGGATTTTGTAAAATTGAGATATAGACCTCAAATGAAGGTCGAATTTCGAAAAAAATCACATAACTGGGCTCGGGGGTGAATAGGTAATCGAGTTTTGATCCGAATCTCGCATTTCAACCAAGCGAGCCCAGGGTCGACTTTTGTTGACTTTTTGAAAAATGATCAAAATTGAACCCTTTTCATTCGTGGGTAGTTTCTAAAGCTTATTTTGGATTGTTTGATTGATAATTGGCTAGATTCGGTTGGTTTGGAGGCTTGATTGAAAGGTAACGCCGTGATTGATTGTTAATTTGGTCGAGGAAAGATGTAAGTGTCATGGTTAACCTTGACCTGAGGGAATTAGGACTTGCTTGGTCTATTTGCTACTTGATTTTATGTGCGGCGATGAGGTTGATGTTGTTGTATAGGATCGAGTTGCGCGTCGCAGAGAAGATATGTTGATATGTTGTTTGGAATCGACTTGCACGGTGCAACAATAT